TGTCGCTAGACTTTTTATCGGTAAAGAAAACCAAACTAATATCAACCGTTGTCCGCTGCTCTAACAAAGTCACGTATCTGTCGTTGCAGTGTCAATTTGACACTGTATATAAAATAGCATGGAAAATCGATAAATAATGATGAAATGCATGATGATTCTACTGAGAACCATTCGGTAGTTTATTATTTATTTTAAAAAAAGAAATATAAATATTTGTAAAAAAAATGATTATGTTTTTGGTGTGGGGAGTATACAGAACGTAGCCTGACGTAAGCATAGTACGCAGCCACTGTGGTTGTGACAGCTCACGCGTAACATGAGCAACTTCACTCTTATTGAATAAAGAATCAGTTTATAATGCAACACGAACCAAACAACATCTCTGTGTTTCATTATTTCCTACAACTTTGGAGGCTCAAACAGATTGAAAATTAAGTTGAAAAAAGTAGATAAAAGTTGATAAAATGTCGATTGAAATTAAAATTAAATCGATTAAAGTTGAAATGGAATGAATTTTTCCAGAAAAAAGTTGAAAAGTTGAAAAGTTGAAAAGTCGAAAAGTCGGTCGCACACAATCAAGTAGCCGTAGCGGTACATTTTCAGTAGTCAGCTCATCGGATTTTTTTTTCATTTGTCGTCGATGTAGTTCAAGTCGTTGTCGTCAAAGTCGTTTGTCGTGCAAAATGCAGTTGAATAAAATGAAAAAAGCCGAACTGATCGAAGAGTGTCGTAAAAACGGACTTGGTACCGATGGTACAGAAGAAGAGTTGAGAACTAGATTGAAAGAGTTTTTGGTAGAAAATACGTCATCACAGTCATCGCGTTCAAATAGTGTTACGAGAGATAATGTCGACGAATTGAAAAATTTACTCGTCAAAATGCAAGAAGAATTGGCGGCATTGAAACAAGAAAATGCGCGTCAAAATCAAAGTCAAAGCAACCATGATGAAAGTGACGCTGCACACACAACGGAAGAGCATCAGCAACAACAACAACAACAGCAGCAGCAACCACCGAACGGTGTAAGCAACGAAAACGAAGACAGTGTAAACGGTAGCCGTCCACATACACAATCAAGTTGTCAGCGACAAGTAAATAGTGCAAATCAGTTCACAAAGCCAAGCTTAATGAACACATCGCACGAAGTAAGAGCTAGCAATCAAAATAGCGGTTCATTTGCAGCATTTTCATTCCGTGACATCGAACACGCGTTGAATTCGTTCACTGGAACTGGGAATTATCGCATCGAAACATAAATCGAAGAATTCGAAAACACGCTGAAATGTTCAAGTGGAATGACTTACAGAAATTAATTTACGCCAAAAGAGTGACAAAAGATTCGGCTAAATTATTTTTGCGTACAGTGAAAGTGTCCACATACGATGAACTCAAGTCGGAATTGATCGAAGAATTCGGAAAAAAGTTGACAAGTGGTGAAGCGCATCAATTATTGCAAACAAAGAAGAAGAAGAACGTTGAAACTTTGCGTGATTATATGTTGAAAATGAGAGAAATTGGTGTCGCCAATGACATCGAAGATGAATCCGTTATTCAGTACATAATCGACGGTATCGACGACGACCACAACAATAAAATGCTATTGTACGGTGCAAAAACATAAAACCAAAGTTGGACGATTACGAGAAATTCAAAGCAAGTGGCACAAAGAAAAAAGTTGAAAGTGGCAAATCGAAACAGAATTCGAAGTCAAGCAAAGACAACAGTGAATTCTCGAAAGCAAATTCGACGACCGATAAAGAGCAACGCTGTTTTTTGTGTGGAGATAAACATTTGATGAAATCGTGCCCAACGAAAGAAAAAGGCGCGAAATGTTTTAAGTGTTTCGAATTCGGTCACCGCGCTAGTGATAATATGCGCAAAAAGAGCGACGATAACAAAAAAGATGATGAAAAAAAGATGATGCACATCACAAGTGAAATTAAACTGAGAGCAATGAAAAAAGTCGAATTGAATGGCAACGAATCAGATGCATTCATGGACACAGGCAGTGATGTAAATGCAGTGTGTGAATCATTTGCGAAAAAGTTGAACGCCAAAAAAATTATTTACAATAACACAGACAGTTATAAGGGAGCTGGCGGTGCAGAAGCGAAAAGCAATCGTTATTTTTTCGGTGATTTGTTGATCGACGACCAAGTTTTTACGCCTCGTTTCCGTATTGTGAAAGACAATGACGTTGATTGGAAATTAATTTGATCTGATGTGTTGATTGGAAATGAATTTTTGTTCGACGTGCACCTAACGATGGAAAAGGGCACAATCACAGTGAAACGTATTGGAAACGAAAGTGAAACCGAAAAAGAAGCAAAAAAACTGTGGATGATGGCAATCACACAAAAAGATGAAGTCAGTGACGTGCCAAAAGAAGTCGAAAAAATGATCGAAGACTATATGCCGAAAAAGTCGAATATTGATTCAAGTGTTGAAATGAAAATCCAGTTGACAGATGAAAACCCAATTCATGAACCATCACGACGATTACCGTACGCACATCGCGATATTGTCGCAAAGCAAATAAAAGAGTGGATTAAAGACGGTGTTGTGAAGTAGGGAAACTCACCTTACGCATGTAATGTTTTGGTGACAAAGAAAAAAGACGATTCGGACCGCGTGTGTATTGATTACCGCCCAGTAAATAAAAAGTTGATTCGCGACAGATACCCAGCGCCGAATATCGACGACATAATAGAATCTCTTAAAGGTGCAAAAGTGTTTAGTAAAATTGACTTGAAGAATGCATTTTTTCACATTCCAGTCGAAGAAAACAGTCAAAAGTACTTGACATTTGTGACGCACAGTGGACAATATATTCCGTTGAAAGCACCATTTGGTTGTAGCAATAGCCCGTCGGCATTTGAACGTCATATCAACAACGTGTTTCGTGAATTAATTCTCGAAGGAATAATTTTGATTTACATGGACGACGTAATAATTATTGCAAGAAACAGAGAAGAGGCGATTCAAAGATTGAAACGTGTGTTAGACTGTGCAGCTGAAGCCGGTCTAGAAATCAAGTGGAAAAAGTGTGAATTCTTGAAAACATCGATTGAATTTCTCGGTCACATCATCGAGAATGGGTGCATCAGACCATCACCAAGCAAAATCGAAGCCGTTCAAAAATTCAAAGAACCAAGAACGTTGAAGCAGCTTCAATCATACCTGGGGCTCACCGGTTCATTCAGAAAGTTCATCGAAGACTATTCATTCATAGCAAAGCCCTTGAGTGATTTGACTCGAGACGACGTCAAATTCAAAATTGACAACAAAGAACGAGCAGCATTTGAAAAGTTGAAGGGACCGTTGTGTGAAGAACCAGTTTTGAAAATTTACGACAACAAAGCCGAAACTCAAGTTCACACTGACGCATGCAAGACAGGACTTGGAGCAATGTTGATGCAGAAAGCCGAAGACAACGAATTTCATCCAGTGTATTTTTGGTCAAAGAAAACAAGTTCTGACGAAGAGAAACTTGACAGCTACACATTGGAAACACTAGCTGTAGTCAGAGCAGTTGAGAAGTTCCACGTTTATTTAATCGGCAAACAATTCACAATAGTTACCGATTGCGAAGCATTCAAGAAGACAATGGACAAGCGTGATGCATGTTCAAAAGTCGCAAGATGGTAAATGTTTTTACAACAGTATCAATACACCATTGAACACCGAAGCGGACGAAGAATGCGACACGTCGATGCACTAAGCCGAATGATTATGTCGATCACCACAAAAGAAGACAATTTGTGCATCAAAATCAAGGAGTTGCGAAAAACGACGAGGAGCTGAAAAAGATCGCATCGATTTTGGAAAATCAGCAGCAGTTCAATGATTATTTCATGCGGAATGGAATCGTCTACAAGTTTTTAAACGGTCGAGAGTTGTTAGCCGTACCCACATCAATGGAGTTGGAAGTGATCAGAAAAGCACATGAAAACGGTCACTTTGCAACGAAGAAAGTCGAAGAGAGCATTAAGCAGCAGTATCACATCGTGAAGCTGAAGGAGAAAATACAAGGGATACTCGACCATTGTATTCCGTGTATTTTGGCTGAACGAAAGCATGGAAAATCCGAAGGTTATTTGCACACAATCGACAAAGGAGACAAGCCATTGGATACGTATCATGTCGATCACATCGGACCGATGGTAGCAACGTGCAAAATGTATAAGTATCTATTTGCAGTTACCGATGCTTTTACGAAAATGTCATGGATTTTTCCAACGAAAACAACAAATACGAAGGAGGCACTTGACAAATTACGAGTGCTACAGCAGAATTTTGGCAGCCCAAGACGAATGATATCAGACAAGAGATCTGGTTTCACATCAGTTGAGTTCGAGCAGTACTGCAAAGACGAGAACATCGAACATTCGACGATTACAACAGGTATGCCGCGAGGAAATGGTCAAGTTGAGCGAATCAATCGAAGCATCATTCCAATTCTAACGAAGTTGTCGCTCGACGATCCGACGAAGTGGTACAAACATGTGCCAGCACTACAACAAGCGCTGAATAGTACTTATCAGCGAAGCATTGAAACAACACCATTCAAGTTGTTCACAGGTGTCCCAATGAGACACAAGTTGGATCCACAGTTGCTCAAAACGATCGAAGAGAATTTCGTGCAACAATTTGAATAAGGGCGCGAAAAAGAGAGAGCACAAATCATCAAAGTCCAAAACGAAAACAGACGGACCTTCGACGCGAAAAGAAAAGAAGCGCGAACTTACAACGAAGACGACTTGGTGGCCATCAAACGAACACAATTTGTGAATGGAAACAAGCTAGCCGAAAACTTGATTGGCCCGTATCGCATCACAAAGGTCAAACCCAACGAAAGATTCGACGTGGCAAAGGTGGGATTGCATTCCGGTCCAAAGGTTACATCAACGAGCGCCGAATACATGAAGCGATGGACAACGATCAAAGACGACAGCAAACAGAATTAATTCAATTTGTTGTTATTTGATTTTTTTTCTCACTTGCTAAAGACATTAACGATTTTCTTGTTGTTGAGAATTTAAAAGTAATTCAAGTCAATTTATTTGTTTTTTATTTATTTATTTGTGGCAAATGTATAAATACATGAAAAATACATACATACATGAACGCCCTTATCAACTATTTTAACATTGATATAATCTCAAAAAATATATAAATATGAAAATATAAACGTGTTGTAAAAAAAAATTGTGTATCAGTTTCACAGAGTACCCCTTTCAGTCTTATAATTAAATTTGGTTGTTTAATTGGTCGTTAAAAAGAATCTTTTTTGGCTTTCTCTTGAAAATATTCGCATTTTTTGATTTTTTCAATGATACTGATAGCTTATTGTATAAAGAAATTCCCCGATTTATGAATGAAAGTGAGCCGTATTTGTTTTTCGTTTTGATTTTGTGTAAATTTTGAGCTTGTCTGGGCTTATAATTATGTATGTTATTTTTGTATTCCAAATTGATACTGCATTTTATATTCTTATTTATTATTTTATAAAAATTTGTATTTAGTTCGAGTTCAATGATTTTGCCGAATTGCATGACATCATGTTCTTTAAAAATATCTTCAGTAGAAATATTTCCCATTCTATATTTATTGTAAAATAAATTTCGCATGCATTTTTTTTGTAAAATCCGAATTTTTTGGATATTTTCTTTGCTAGTGCCGCTCCGTATATTGGGTCTACAACTTGAAAATGTCGCATTTGTAATTAACTTCATATATCTATCAGAAAAGTCATTTTTTTACATTGACAGCTGTTCCATCTTAAAGAGCGCTAAAAATACTATATAATTCCATCTGTCAAAGTGCACACAAGTTTATACACAAAAATTTTTTTCGCTTGAAATATGTCTTCGTTTGTACCGAAAAAGCGTCATTTGCGGGAGCTGATTTTTTCACACGGAAAAAATGTGAAAAAAATATTATTCTTGTTTCGGGTTGACACTGAATATGAAAAATGGACGCTTTTCGATTGACTCAAGCAGAAAAAACCATATTTCGATGGCGGCTCCTTGTCATTGTAGGGGGCGCAGCAATCTCTCCCTCGAAAATGGGTGATTTTCCATATTTACGGGGGTGGGGCAGATATGGTGCATTGGAAGGTGGTAGAAACTTATCAAAATGTTAGCTTTTATCGTTCCCAACAGAAACTAATCGGTAAAATACCAATTTCTGACAGCAAAATCGAAAAATTGACCTATCGCCGCAAAAAAAGCGAATTTTTGTAGAATTTTTTTTA